ATAAAATAAAATAAAATAAAATAAAATAAAATAAAATAAAATAAAATAAAATACATTTGCATGGCCCTGAGAAAATTTGGGCATTTATTATATAAAATAAACCAAATCCTACAGTTGCTTTAAAAAAATCCTTCAACTGAGCAGACATTTTTTTCTTCCTGCTACCATGTAAAAGAACTCCTCCTTGCCTTCCACAAGCCCACCAGGAGGCACACATTAGAGAGGAAAATAAACTTCAACCCAGTTGAGGGTGAGAAGTGAAAACAGAAGGGTAAGAAGAATCCCAACAATAGGAAAGTAACAGAATAAAGTGAATGCAGATGGTTCCACTCCTGTTACTTAATCAAAAGGCTGTGCAGAGTCACTAGAGCCAGCATAAAGTCATGTGTTAGAACAACAGCTGATCTGTATTAAAGAAGATTAACTCGCAATGCCATGGTGGAGGGCCTGGGATTATTTTATGTACTTCCATTGCCGAACAAGCCGTCAGCACAATTACTGCCCTCCGATGTGAATGACTGATCTGTAACCACAGCTAAACAGCATGCTGCTTAGGGGCCTGGGTGCTTCATGAAGATGAATTTCCATACCATCAAAGTGCTTTTAATGGGCTTCCTGATCCAACCACAAGGCCTGCTTTGCAAGTATATAGAACTCAGGATGAAGGCTTCCTGTCCAAAAGGATTTGGTCGGTTGTCACTTGACAATTCCCAGCCAGCACAAGGGAGGAGAGGGGGGAGATAGGTAGAGTTGTCTCTGCTTTGGAGGATTAAAAAAAAGAAAAAAAAAAAAAAAAAAAAAAGGGTACAGATGCTTTCTGAATGCAACCAACTGCTGTATCCACAGCTGAATTCAATGCGCTTAACAAATAACGGCAATTTAGCTATGCTTGCAAGGAATAGCTTGAGTCACTTTGCATTAGCATCTGGCTGAGTGTTAAAGTCATTTCTACATGGGGAGCAGAGAAAAGAAATTTCTGCTCCGAGCATCCTTTCAAGAATGCTTAAATATTTGAATATAAATTCCTTTGTGCTTGTGATCACCTCTTCTTATATCTGACACTCTGCTTTTCCCTTTCTCCTTCTGGTACTCCTCTATGTGAAATGCCATAAACATGCTCCATCCCTCTCTTTCTTTCTCTCCCCATACCAATGCTCTTACTCTTCTAAGAGAGACCGTAGTTACCCCAGGATACCTATTACACTGACCTCTTTTTTCCTTCCCCTTCCTCTCCAGAAAGTGCATAAAATTGGAGCCATTTCTACATCACTTACATCCAGCACAGACTGCTGAAAAAAGTACAGTAGTGAGAGATACACGTGTACATTTAAAATTCATTACCCAGACTTCTTGATTCTCAAAGCTTATTGATTGAACTCAATCTAAATCCACGGAAAATGAAAAGCTATCCAAATTAGCTATCTGCTAATTCTGGACAATATTGTTTGACTCACAAGCTTCCTAGGGTGACTGACTTTCGGGTTTCTGCTAAATAGCTGATCATTTTAAGTAATTCTTTTTTTTCTGTGTGTCTCACACAAGGCCTTATAGTGAAAAGCCACTAGCAGAGGTCTCAGTAAAATTCAGTTTGTACTAAATGCAGCAACAGTAATTTTAGCTCTATAGAACAATAAAGGCTGTGCCATCTCAGAAAACACTACAGGGGAAAGAGGAGAAACTAAGGAAAAAGTGTTCCTATGCATATGATATTGAGAGACATGTAGGTGCTGAGCTGCATGTAAATCTCATGTGGCAGAACTGTAAGGACAACTTACAGATGTGGCATCAAGGACTAGCTGATTTATTTACCTTCCATAAGCCAGGGCAGTGCATGCAAGGATATCAAGTGCTTCCAGAGAAAAGCAGGAAATCACAAACTCTTCAGCATACTCCACAGTTAGAGCATATACGTGTTTTCTACAGGTATTCACTTTGCTGCTGTGTTGTTACAGCACAACTTCACAGGCCCATACATTCCGCTGCTTCTACATTTCACTGAAAATATTTGGTGCAGTTCACGTTGTCAATTCTCCATGTTTTCAATTCTGTTAAGTCACCTAACGTGACATGACAGTGCTACATTGCAATGGTCACAAAATATCATATATGATAACTTCACAAGGCTAAATACCCAGAAGCTGAGCCTGACTATCAGCAAAGCTTATGCTCCTAAAGAAGCTTGAATATTTTCAAATCCAGCTCATCTCACAAACACATGTAAGCATTTCCATAAAGCAAGATTTCCACTTAGGCCCAGAGATTTCCTAGATCACCTTCTCATAATGCATGCTGACAGTCTGGATCAGAGAATTAGTGGCCTCCAAAGTTCTCATCTCTGCTGCCTCCTCCCTCTCCCCCATGTCTCTCCAGGTCTTTCTCTCATGTCAGCTTTTGGCTGTGTTTTTCATTTTGCCTTTCACTATTTTGAAAGCGGCAACTATTTTGTTTAAAAAATGGGAAGAAGAAAATACAGCAAATAAAAAGAGGAAAAAAAGGAGGAAAGGACTATGTAAGTAGAAGCACATGCAACCTCCGGGGATTTGCAGAAGCACTCACAGCCACTGACCTTTTCTGTCCTGCAGTTATTGAGACCCAGACTATTCACAACAGCCACCTTCCCATCCAGCACCTGTTGTTCCCTCCGAAGTTGCTCCTTCATCTGCCGAGCCTCCTGGATTGCCTTGGTAACAGCATCATGGTCATTTAAATAACCTGACGACGTGATAGAAGAAAGGATATCTTAAAAAAAGAAAGTTACAAGAAAATACTTTAGCTTTCATCGGTAAAGTATTCATCAATACTTTTTTATTATTCATGAGAAACAGTTAAAAGGCACTGTCCATAAACCTGCCTGCCTATGCTTTGTAATTCTATTACTGTTAGGTAGAGCCACCTGGATATAAAGCATGAGGAACATCAGTGCCAGAATCATTGTCCCGACATTTGATCCCATTAGCTTCAATACTGGTTAGCCCCATGGTTTGCATGCCTCAGGATGTAACCAGATAGGAGTTAAGGGAAGCTTTGATCATGCCAGCAATCCCAAACTCTGAAAAATAGACCGTTTTATTCTTCCCTGTCTTAAAACTTGTGAATACATTAAAATAAACCACAGGTGGCGGTGGTTTGCTATAGATATGACACACATAATGGCTGGGAAGAGAAGCCTCATCCCCTGCCTGCTCCCTACCACCACCTGTCACTCAGCACTGCACAAGAATCCACAGCCACACGGGCCTGCATGCCCACTCCCATTCATGCCCCTAATAGCAGGTCAAATGTCCACTGTTTTGCTGCAAATTCGCAGCCTGGGGCTTAGCCTTCGTAGTCGTGGAATTATTTCCTTTTAAAATGTTACAGGCTTCACCGGCAAAGCTAATACTATTTCATTTTAAATGTGACACTTTGTCATTTTTTTTTTCTTTGGCGTACTGTAGATTATACTTATTATGATCTGCATGTGATTTGCAGGATAGAATACTGATGGGAGACTCCAAGCTCCAGTCTATTTTTCCAGCATTAAAGGAGAGGCTAATATCTAGCCATCTCCCTCCCCCTCTCCATATATACGCATACGCACACACACTTTTTTCTGTCTTTTAACTAGGGCATAAAAATGGCATAAAATGAATCTGTAATATGAAATTGCCCAGAAAAGGGACTTCTGTTTGTGACATGAGGCTAAATCTAACCAGATCCATTGGTGAATTGTGACAGATGGAGGGACTGTGAGACAGAAGGCAGGCACTAATCACACACAAAATGACCGGCTTGCCTCAACATGTTCCATGGATTCCAGCAAACTTTACACCCTAATCCATTTTTAGAACAAAAAACATCTGGGCCATAAATCCTCTAATCTGCCAAAACACGCTATTAAATCCCATGATTTGTTGAAAAACACTAAGATTAAAGAAAGGAAATATAAAATGGCTAACTGCCGTGTTAGGAAAGTGTTATTAATACTCTTTCTTTGTCTCAATTATGAATGTTCTGTTCCTAAAGAGCCTTGTCTAATCATGTCAGATTACACATCCTTGTTGTATTGCTAGACTCTTCTATCTGATCCACTGATTGCCAAAAAACGTAGGACATTGTCTTGCTGCTTATAACATTTCAGGGGAAGAAGCTGATGTCAGATTAGTTCAGTGCTGCACTGCTAGGAGGATTTCATTTTGGTTTTGGGTTTGATTGCTGGTGTTTTAGATTACAGACACAATGGGACTGGTCTTCTGGGCAAGAACTGGAAAAAAAGTTTCTGTGCAGTTTGACTGTTGCTAATTGTACTAACAGGTAGCATTGGCTAACTATCCCAAATCTTGAGGGTTTTATATGAAATAACTCAATCCACACTGCTTTTATCAGCTGTTCCTGGTCAGCAATTCCAAGCCAAAAGAATTCCAGCAATTCCACCTTTCCCAGCGTAAGAAAGCATGCAGCCTGCACCAACACAGCACTACTGGTTGATTTTTTTTTCACCTCCATTTTAAGAACTTGCTTGGTTTCTTCCCCTCTTTGCATCTGTTACTGATGAAGCTTGCGTGTAGTCAGAATAAATTAGAAAGGAAGCAAACAAACAAACAAACAGTAGTACTGCTTCTGCTTGTGCTCTTGATTGGGCTAGGTATAATACTTTCAATCTGTAAAAGCTGAATTTGCCTAGGAACTGGAATTCATGCCCTCCTCCAGACTATTTGGCTTTTCCTGAATACTGCTATCTTTGAGACAGTTTGGCACATGACAGTGAATAAAAGCAAGCACTCCTTATGTTTTTCAGTAGCTGCCAAGATGCTGGTGTGCAGGGAAATGATTAATATAGAAGCGAGTTGAATGTAAATTATTGTTGTTTAGGGTAGGTGGTGAATTATTGACAGAGAGGGGAACTGCATTACGTAAAATGCATTTAGTTGCAAGGATTGCCAAACTAACATAGAGATGTTGAAGATAAAGGCAAAGGGCAGAGAGAAGTTGTTTCTGTTTTTAGTACACGGACATATGCCTATTCCCAAAAAGAAATGCTTGGATTTAAAGTCATACATGAAGCCATGACATTTGTGACTGCTCAGTCTGTAACATAATTTATACACTATAAGGAGAGCTCTAGAAAAGGATTATGTAGCTGTATGCCCAAGTGTAGCCATACTCTCAGCCACAGGAAGTGTAAGTTTATGTGCCCAAGATGCAGCCTATGCACTGCTGGTGCAGTGAAAGGTGGCAGCTCAGCTACATCTCAGCAAGGTGAGCCATGCACATCTACATCAAACAGCTTGTTTCTTTCATTGACAGCCCTGATCATTCAAATGGAGGAAGTAACTCTCTGGCAAATGGCTGCATGCTTCCCGAAGACCTTCCCAGGAAAAACCTATCTCACAAGATAAAAAAGTGTACCAGTCTCTCTTAGTTCCTTTGTTAAAATGTTATCAAGTTTTTCAAGTTTTGTTTGGTTGTTTTTTCTGGTTTTTGTTTTTTTTTTTTTGGTGGAGGCTCCTAGTGGAGGGAGACCTGAAATGTTGTGTATGCTTTTTCTAATGTCACCAAATGATTTCAATATGGTAATGAGCTTTATACCTTTGGTTGTACCTAGCCTAGCAGTTAGCATGAAATGACCTGTAAAATGTTCACAAGCTCTTTCCTCTTGTAGTTCCCCATGATAGATCTGTGTTACTTGTAGGCTGTGCTGTCCAGCTCCTGCACCACAGTTAAAGACTGCTTATCTTATATATACAGTATGCAAAGTTATACTGCTCAGCAACCTCAAAAAGTCACTTTCTGTATTTGTAGCTAGGAGATATACAGCAGTGAACTCTATGTCATTAACAATAACTTAAGTATGTTATCTTTTGCTCCACAGTTTTCCATGGTTTATTAATGGTATAACACATTAATTCTTCTTACAAGAATGACCTTTAAAGCTCCATTCATCCTCACAGCTTTTATCCAATTACATTATCACTCATTATAGGTACAGCATTTCAAAATCCGTATTTTGTTAAAAGAAGTAAATTGCAGGGGTCTCAAACCTACGAAAAATAACAGGTGTGTATGGAAAAAAGATTGGAAAAGAGAGAACAAGGGATGTCCTGCCACTGAGGGGCAGGTTAGATGCATGATACCATATCACTCTACCTAGGACAAAAAATCCAAAGTGAAAAAACTGAAATTTGGGGCACTGTACATGGAGATTAGTAGGGTCAACCAAATTAAAGATGAAATACATTATTAACTAACAACATTAAACAGTAAAAGGCTAATAAGAATAATATATGCGTTAATAATTAACAGTGGGATACTTATGAAATATTTACACAATTGTAACTTGTCATACTAAATAAAGTTGTCTTCTTTTCTATAGAACATAGAAGCATATTTACTGTCTGATATTTGTAACCCTCATCAACATCAGCACTAATTGTGTATGCAGAGTGGAAGGATAATACAGTGGGAGCTAGATATGTTTTGAACACTGGATGTAAGTATGTGTCTTCCTGGTATCTACTGAGGTAGAATACAGGCTACAGGGATCTTGGGAGAAACCCATTGAGATGCAAAATGATTTCACTACACAATGCTGAGATATCACAGGATTTGCTTCTGATTGGTCTGGCCTATGTTTCCTTTTGTTCTCTGTGCCATCTCTGAAAATGGTCAACCAGAGATGTTTCACATCTCTATGAATTAAGCTACAACAATCTTCCTCAACTGCCTAAACACAACTTGATTTATACACTGAGATCTTAGTTCACGTTACATTAAATCACTTCTTGGAATATAATGTTTTAGTTAGAAGGCTGAAGAATAAGGTGCTTACACATATTACTCGCACACACACAAAGAGAAGTCCCTCTGACACACTGGACTTGTAAATTTACATCACCAATGAGACCATTCTTATCTAGATGGTCCTTAGGCAAAGAGCTAATTTTGACAGGAGGAAAAATTTACATTATTTTCTGCCACAATGTTAAAAGCAGTCAGTTAAGACTGTTCTAAAGATACAACACCAACCTTGTGTTTTTTTGAATGAACCTAGCAATTGCGTTGCTAATGAGACTAAGATAATACTCTATACAGCTTTTTAGTGAACTAAACACTAAACGTGATTTTTTGCAAATACATATTTGCATATGTAGATTTTTAGCTTAAAGGGATTTTTTAAAAAACAGTGAATCATCATCTGCTTTTTTTTTTAGCTGACAAAGTAGAACACCTTGTATCTTCAATGCCTGCCATTAGACAGGTGTCTATTTTTAGTGCATGCAGTTAACCAAACAGCATTTATTGACTGTTATTGATAAAGCAGTATCTGAAATAACACAGGCCTTTGTTCTATGAGTCTGTAAAAGTTAACATACTCTTTCTGAAACAGTAAGTCCATGACAGTTTGTTTATTGACATCAATACATGCAGTGTTATGTTCAGTCTCTGACATCTCATACACCACTGTCTGATAAATGCCCAGTTTTGAATAGCACCTATTAACTGTTATGAGGAGGGTCAAGTGAAAGTGATCTTACCTATTGTGTTAGCTCTGGCTGAAGGACTAGCTAATGTTGCTGGCACAGAGGATTTTAGTGAACTGGCCCCACTATTTATTCTCAGAGTTGGCATATGAGGAGAGGTGGGTGACGTAGGAGACTTGCCATCAGATGTCTTGGGTTTGGCTGAAAGGTTCAGAGGCTGGGCCACTTCATCCTACGATGAGCAGAAAATAAAAGAACATCATCAATAAACTGCTGTTGGCATACCACCATCTAAGCAAAAACAGGTTTTTTTCAGCTCATATAAACCCCGAAACCGGTAAGGTTGTATGATATGTATTAAGATCAAATGTGATACCACCTTGTCATTCCTGCTCGGAACTGAAATGACTGATGGACTGGAAAATGAGCATGATATAATCAGAGAACACTCTCCATTTGCACTTTTCATGTAGGAATTGTCCCTGAAGAAATTATTCACATTAACAAGACATATGCTTCCACAGTGAAGACAAAGAGTATTTTTACAGTTAGACTTTATTATTATTTTGTTGTAAATTTGACGTTGATGAAGAGAATTCTCACTTATAATTCAACCACTACAATCCAAACTAGGCAAATCTGTTCTACTTATTGGACTTTGTTGTTGTTATTTTGGTGGTTTTGGTGTTGTTTTTTTGCTTTTTGTTTTCCAACATCTGCGTTCCTCTGAACTTCCTAGGCTTAGAATTTCAGGTACAAAAATATCACAGGAAACATACACTTCTTTTTCACTACAACAAGAGAGCAAGAAGATCCTGCCATTTCTTCCAACAAGATTTGAAGTAATAACCTGGACAGTTTTGCATAAGCCCCTAGATTTTCTCCTATTTTCTTAGCTGGGCTTCAAGATTTCATTAATCATTACAATGCAAAAACAGAAATTTCAGGTGACATTTTTTGCAGGATATTTGGAATTATTCCTAAACCCAACTTGATTACACGTAGTAACAGAGACTGCTGCAAAACATGTTAAAATCCAAAGGCATATGTTTTTATTTGACCATAATATGTAATAGCAAGGAAAAAAAACAACAGGCAAGAGATAAATAGTTTCTTCAGAAAAGGGGATACTTTAGAAATGATTTTAAGTGTCTTTAACTAGCCAGAAATAATGTATGTAGTATTAGATCCAACCATCATGTATTAGCCTAGCTTTCCTCTGCCCACGTGACCTAGGAAAACCACCCCTTAGCTAAAGAAGTGCTACAACACACTTTCAGCTCCAGGCACTGGATAAGTTGATTCTTATCTCCTTATGTTCTAAGTACATTTCCTGTTAAAAGAATTATTCCTGAGTTACAGCAATTCAATGCTGACTAGAATTAGGCTCATAAGGTTTGAGGGTTTTACTGCTGCTGTTAAGGTATCTGTAACTATTGTCATATAGAACTGAATCTTTTCCACAAAAGGTGGTATGCCACAGTAAAGTAGGAATTTCATACTTAGCTGCCACACATGCAAGTATGATGTAGATGTATGACTCCAAACACAAGACAATTTTGCCAAGTACTGTGATACAACTTTTACCTTAAAGAAGCAAGTTCTGAGCTACACGCTTTTGTTATGTTTGTCTATTTCTGTTAATCTTCCGCCACTGGATTTAAAATGTTGCCTAGATCAGTCAATATTTTACACTCTAAGATGGTAATCATTCCCTTACAGAAGTACAAGTTCATGTGTATTAGAATAAAATAGATTAACATACGTTAAATCAAAGTAGACTTGCTCTGCTGTTCCATTGATTTCAATTTAAAAAATCCCACAACAGTGCAACAACAAAGCCAGAAATGAGACAGTTGCACAAAAGCCTAAGTTCAAGCTAACCAGTAAACCAACAAAACAGTGACCTGAAGAGCAAAGTCATGTATTTAGAAGACAGTATTAGAAGCAATGAAAACCTGCCTACAGACTTGTTCTAGGTCAATTCAAGAGGCGCTATTTTCCATGTATACTCAATTCCCAACCTCTATTGCAAGTGTCAACAAAACGTGCTGATTAGTTTCAGATATGGTAGTAAAAGCTGCAGCATACTCTCTGGCCACAGAAAATCTGGCTGAGAGCAGCACTTCGGTTCCAACAAAGTCATGGATGGCAAGGGCCCTCACTACCAAGTCAGCTTGGATTCTCATCTGCATCCTTGCACTAAAACATTTTTTTCAGAATCATCCTTTACTAAATCCCTGGGCTATCCTGTTCCTATAAAGTTTATTTCCTTCCCTTGTCTCATTCCCACTCTCCTTCCTCAGTTCTTCTGTTCCACTCTTACACCCTGGTGTGAAGACAAAGTCTTGCTAGTTAGAAATGAGGGAAGCATTTTCTCCACCACAGGCACCCAGTGATGAAGCTGTCTCTGTGCTGTAACTATTCTTGGTAGTAAGAATGCTCTTCTTCATTCAAGTCAGCACAGCTTCTCTGGAGCCAAGAAGTATAAGGCCTCATGGAAATAATAGAAGCCGACAGTTCCAGAGCTGATAAATGTCATTCCAAATTGCCCCTTCATTCACTTTCACTGTGTGTTCAGGCTAATGGTAAATTAATCAGAGATCACAGAAGCTTGCTTCTCATATGAGAGAAAAAAGAAACAAGTTTCTGATATTTATATGTATTTACAAAACGATATTACTTCACCGTTTGGTCTTCATAATAATTTTACTTCTATTATTTTAAAGAACACTCTGAAATCCTCACTGGAATTCAAATGTATTAAAAATTTAGTCAGAGAGCTTAGAAATCCTATGTTGCATCTTGAGCTGATCATAATTTTAAGACTCTACCACAGTGAAGCAGTTTATTCCTTAGGAGACTGAAAAATATCTGGGAGATACAGGTAATAATACACTATTGTGTTAAATGTGAAGAAGATAACTGTTAGGATCTTTGCTTTGGTACTCAGTGAGGCATTTTACTCTTTATCCTGTCTGCAGACATAAATTCAGATTTCTCTGGATGAGCTCCTATTCTCTGCTTTTCCAGTTTAAACCAAGAACTGCATCGTCTTCATTTCTGATTTGCAGCTGCATAATCCAGAGAAGAAATGAGTGTTTGACTACAAAATCTTCCAGTTAGCATTCTGTCATTACAAATTAGCAGGCATCACTCTCAGTTGTGTCAAGGCTGTGCATAGTTCTAGCACAAAGACAGCTAGGGCAAGAAAGAGTAACAACAACACTGAAAAATAAGTATGGCATATTCACTTCAGGTAGACAGTATCTTTGAAAGAGTCAGGAGATTCCATATTACGCAGAGACATCACAGAACCTAGAACTACCTCCTGCACTTAGTTTTTATTAAAGAAAGGTTGGCATTGATTGATCCCCAACTTTTTCTTCCATGCCACTGATAAGGATTTTTAAGACGGCACTGTTTAAAGAGTTAGACAAAGTCAAAAAAATCTGTTTATGTATCAGCCAAAATGATTAACATTTAGAGCAGAAAACATTGAAAGTCTTGTAATAATATAAACACAGATATGATGAAAGTAGAACATGACCTCAATTAAAGATAATGAAACAGTTTCTTTAAAGTAGTGTATTTGTCAAGCAAAACAAAACACATACACACACAAAATAAATGTAGAGAATAAAGCATAAGCAAAAACACATGATGGAGGGCTGGTAATATGAAGAACCCACACCAGGAAGAAACTGCTGGTAAGAGATTCTTGTCCCCTGTATCACAGCAGTGTCAGGATAGTTGAAAGTTTAGAACAAGCTGGTGGTTTGCTTTCCAGGACTGAAATGCTGTCTTCAACCAAAAATTCAAAGCTCAGGGAACATCAGATCCTTGATTTGATCTAGATTTTTATTCCAGATATAAGAGGAAAGAAAAATTCTTCATCTACATTAAAATTTGAAGATACACAAATATTCAGAAACTGAATTTCGTTGCTTCCTTCCGCCTGGATTTGTGTAACTTTAAGCCTTCATATTTAAGCATTAGACATGAGAAATCCCCATAAGTGAGGTTTAAGCAGAAATACTGCTGGTAAGCTGAGTCTGCATCAGTGTTACAAGTAGTTGGCTGAATTGGTGTCTTTTTTAATGTTTCAGTTAAGCTGTCTCTATTTACCACTTCCTAAGATAAAAAATTAATGTATATCTGAACATTAAGAGGGGCTGAAATCTGATTTTGAGAATGTCTCTAAATCATTTATTAAAAATTGCACTATTTTAACACCAAGAATTGAATAGAAGGCCAATAGCCCAGATGAATGAAGCAGTCTCGGAGAATGAAAAGGTGTGTTGGGAGGAAGAACTCAGATGATTCACTTAATTTTATAATCTCACTTCTTTTCACATACTTTAATGATTAGAACACTATTAAAAATACTGTTACTAAATTACTGTAGTGTCATTTAAATCCAAGTGCTGTATCCCACTGTGGCACACACTGAAGGCCCAGGTTGTCAGTTTATTACAAAATTACAAAATATTCTGTGTATCATCTGACTGTCAATACAGATGTGCTTAAATGACCTGGCATAAGCACAGCCTAGCATGCTCTATTAAAGAGGCTTTCCTGACTTCAGGGAATACGTTTACCACATCTTAAATGACCTTGATGACCTATTTAAATGACCTTGATAGTACAAAATACAGCCAAATGAGTTATAAATAATGAGCTGGAGTGGGGGGTTCTAAAAAAAATGTCTGTTGTCTCATCAAAACCAAAGCCTCATTCCCCATCCTTGCTTCTGTTTCTTGGAGATGTTCATTTCAATAGAAATACAAAATACAGAGCACTCACTGGCGTGGCTGGGGCAGAAGACAATGATGCTGTTGTTGCACAATGAAGTAGGCAGCTCACCAGTGGTTTATCCATTCCGTCTCTTGCCCATCCATAGAAACCTCTAACCAACACGTGTCAGAAACAGAAGTGTAACAACATATAAGCAAATAAAATCCATTTCTGTCCCTTCTAGACTACAGTTGTCCACACACTCACACAAAGATACTGGCATCTTTCTTCACGTCCCCCCCCCTTCCTCTGAAGCCACTCATGGTGAAATTATCAGTAGTGATGATAAGAAGCCAAGAGGTAACGGCAGTTGTGAAACGTGTTGTATAAATGAGCCATGCTGCTGATATTATCCTCACTGATGAAATAATTGTATTAAATTAAGCAGGGATGTTCACATGACAGGATGGGTGAATTAGATAATGCTCATCTGCA